TAAGAAAGTGGCCCGCGCATGCGCGGGCCACTGGTCCTGTTTACAATGATATTAGTATTCTATTTTTTCTACCCTGCGTATATGTCTGCCACCTTCAAACGCAGTACTGGTAAAGATGCTGATGTACTCCTTCATATCTTCCATAGAGATAAAACGGGCTGGCAGGCAAAGCACATTGGCGTCGTTGTGCTCCCGGCACAGTTTGGCGATCTCCTTATTATAGGCCAATGCAGCACGCACGCCCTTATGACGGTTGGCCGCAATGCTTACGCCAATACCGCTACCGCAGATCAGGATGCCGAAAGTGGCCTTGCCGGTTTCAACAGCAGCAGCTACAGGATGTGCAAAGTCGGGGTAGTCTACACTGTCCTTGCTGTGCGTACCCTTGTCATCTACCGTCCAGCCGAGCTCTTGCAGGTAAGCTTTCAGTACTTCTTTATCGTCGTAGCCGGCGTGGTCGGTACCAATCGCTACGGGCAGTTCTTTATTAAAAACAGACATATTAATTAGGAGTTATCAAATTCAATTTGTTTTCTCAGGCGTTCGTTGGCAGCGCGCTGGCTGATGCTGATCCCAAGCTCATACAAAAATATCAAAGGAATAGAAACCAGGAAACAGCTAAACCAATCGGGCGGTGTAATAACCGTGGCAATGATCAGGATGATCAGGTAAGCATAACGACGGTTATCGTGCAGCAGCTTTGGCGTAATAATGCCCAGCCTGGACAGGAAAAATACAACTATCGGCAGCTCAAAAACAATACCCATGCCTAATACGAGGTCACTGATGGTATCGTAATAATTGCCAATGGTAATATTGTTCTTGAACATCGGGCTCAATTGATACGTGGCAAAGAAATTAATCGTAAAAGGTATCACCAGGTAATAGGCAAAGAGAACGCCTACGAAGAAAAGCAGGGAGCTCCAGAAAACAATACCGCGGGCATATTTCAGTTCACTGGGCTTCAGCGCCGGTTTCAGGAATTTCCAGAACTCAAAAAAGACATAAGGAAAGGAAACAATAAACCCGATCATAAACGAAGAGGAAAAGGCAGTCATGAACTGACCGCTTAATTCCGTGCTCTGGAATGATATATTCAGGTCGCCAAGGCAGAGTGCATCTACCCCGATCATCTTCCCAAGCTTGCAAAGCGCACGATAAGAAATAAAATTGCTATGTGCAGGACCCAGAATGATATTGTCAAAGATCCATTCGATATTCAGGAAAACAACAATGGAACAGATTATAATGGCTGCAATGGCCCGGATAATATGCCAGCGCAGC